AACGGTGCTGTCGGCGTAACTAGAATCGACGAACACGTCTAGGTCTAGCCCTGATCCGCGGACGTAGGTGATCCCGAGGTCCTTTGTCTCGTTGAGGCAGGACATGATCCGCTCAAGCGCGTTCCACATCCTCTCGGTGGTGAGTGGGCGATCTTCTGCAGCTTGTTCAAAGGCAGCGCGATGTCCGGCCTCGTGAACAGCAACCACATCAGGCATCCGATCGCTTCCCTCACGGGCTTGTCCACCGAGGACTCGTCGTCTCTCTTCGGCCCTAGGTCATCGTCGACGACAGCGGGGGAGGGAGCAATGGTCGTGACATTGAAGCGGTTGAGCATGCTCTCGATATAAGCCGTCTGGGACAGCTTGGTGGTACCATTCTCAAGGTCCACCTCAATGGCACACCCATCGTACCAGGTACAATCTCCTAGATCCTTCACAGGGAATCTCTTCTGGAGAGACGCTAGCAACTCTTCACGCTCCTCCTCGGTCGCGGACAACATGATGTCATCCACGTAGATCACGATGAGACCTACGACTTCTCCGTCAACCACCTTGCGGAAAATGCAGGGGTCCACCCTGCACTGCTCGTAGCCGTTTGAGATCAGGGCATCGGCAGCCTCAAACCCCCACTCGCGCCCACTCTGCTTGAGTCCATACAGAGCACGCTCGACTTTCACCGCCTTGCCAGTCCAAACACCACAACCGTCTGGAAGCCTCAGGTAGATTTCTTCCTTCAGCTTGGCGTGTGTGTACGCCTGCTTGATGTCCCAGTGGACAGGCCTCCTACCATTCTCGGTGGATACGGCCACCATAGTTTTGGTGGACATCGCGGAAGGGCATGCGGATGATGAGTGGTGAAAATCCACACCGGGAATCTGAGAAAAACCACGCGCAACCATACGTGCTTTGAAGTCGACAATCAGCCCCTTCTCATTGGTCTTGTGCGAGAAAATCCACTTCGCACTGATGGCCTTACGCCCCTCGGGCAGACCGCTAATCTCGGAGAACGTCTCCGTCTTCTTGTGGCCGTCGAACTCCTTTGCTATGGCTGCTTACCACAGCACCTTGTACTTGGAGTTAAGGACATCCTTGTACGTCAAGGGCACGCACTCTACATCACTTGGCTTCTGGCCGAAGGGCGAGGGGATACTTAGCTGCGGGTCATGAAGAGGTTGCGATGACCCGTCGTCCCCTGCCTCTGCACCGAACGCCTCCTCCTGCAGCTCGGTGCCGTACGGCAGCTCATGCATCTCACGCCGGTACTCGATGTTGACCTGCTCCTCGTCGTACCGCTCCCGCACCAGCGAGTTGGAAACGTAGTCCACGATGATCTCCGCCAGCAGCGCTTGCTCGGCGTCTGGCTCGGCGTCTGGACCCGGCGGCTCCTCGGGGCCTTGCAGCTCCCGGGTCTCCCTTCGTGTGCGGCCGCGCTCGAGCCCGTGGCGCAGCGGTCCTTCCTTCGAGGCGCCCCAGAGGAGCCAACGCCCTTCGCGGCCCGATGGGTAGCGGCTGCCGGCGAGATCAAACTTGTACTCCTCGAGTTGCTCGGAGTCTTCGCCGGGTTCGCTGCCGCCGCCACCGCCATCTCCAGAGGCGCCGGGCTCACT